GTAGATCAAATGAAAACATCTTTGTCAAATAATGGCAATCGGCAAAAACTTCAGAGAATAGCAGATTTTTAACAAAGTGAATACAATTTACCCAGATTTCCACAGTTGGGCTGTAATCCCCCCTGTAATTAGTCTTCTTTAAAATCTTTAATATAGTGTAAACATGTTATTTCAAGACATATACTATTCTGTGTTATATATTCAAGATGCTCATGGGCCCAAGATCCTGGGTTTGAAGGTGCGGATCTCAGGATGGGTGCTACCCACTATGTCCTGTCAATAAATCAGCCTCGGTGTTGTTTCACTGTCATTTGGTGGAGGAAAAAACTCATTTCATTTAGCATTAGGGCAAAATTAATGTTTATGCACCCAAGAAAGCTGTCTGAAACTCAGTAGTATATTTTCTTTCTCTGTTCAGTAGGCTTTTGATTTGCAGTTAAGAGTACTCTCTGGAGCTTAAATTTGTGCACCTTTTAGATTTTTGTTTCCTTTCTAGTTGTTCTGATTTATTTTCTTTACATCTAGATAACCTCAGGCTCTCCCTTTCACTTTCGGAGAGTTCATTTATGCTCTCAGTGCCCTTACATGTTCCAGAACTGTGTATCTGCGTGGGAGTTTCATGAGCACAGTATGTCCAGGCAGCCCCAGGCCCGTGCTCCCCCTTCCCTAAGGGGAAACACTGCTTTTACTGAACTTTGAAACTTAGTACTTTGGCTTAGATTTCATCTCCTAATTACTTTGTGTTTCAAATTAAAGTTTTAATGAGTTTAATACATTTCAAAAGATCATTTGTGATTGCAATATAATAAACAGAAATTTGGGGAAATCCAGGATTAAAAAATTGCCAAATAGCTCATCGTGGCCAAACATTCACTTAAAAGACCATAAGTGTCTCAACTCAAAAAAGTAACTGAAGCAATATGGCTTTGAAAATATCACATGGTACAGTTCCTTCACAAGTGAGTTCACAGTGGTTTGTCACCTGTCGTCTCATTGATTCAAAAAAACAAAAACCCTAAAGAGAAGCAGTCCAAGAGTCCATCAGGAAAGTGACTTCTTTCAAATGGATTGCAACTGGACTAGGATAGTTTATGGGTAAAACCATTAACCTTTGTGTCTTCCCCCTTGTTAGTAAAGAATTTTTAAAAATCTTATTTTATTGGTACATTTTAGATATACATAGTAATAACATTCATCATAGGGAAATTTGTACCTATACATGATACATTTTGCTTCTTTTTTCCTATTCTCTTCCCCTCCCAAGATAAAATTATTTTAACTTTTTATGTATGATTTTAGTCATTATGTTTATTATAGTTGTCTCAGTTACAATAGCAAAATAATGGTGGAAATGTGAACAATTCAAAGATACATAAACAAGAGTGGAAAGATGGCCCATATTTTATCTTTCAAATGGTGATCATAAGATTTTGGCTAACTGGAGTCATTTTTCTCCATTTTTGCATAAACTCTTTAGTTTGTTGTAGAAAAGTCGCAAAGACAGTACACAGTTGGCAAGGACGCTGCATCCTGTTTCCCCAGATGCTGAGGTTTTCTGGGACCTTGGAACCAGGTCTCAAGTCTCACCTGGAAACAACTCTGGAACACCATACTTTACATGGATGTTTCGGGGTCCATCCAGGAAAGATTTTAGTTTATATAAAAAAAAAAAGTTTCAGGATCCATCCAGGATACCACATGCATGTAACTATTAAAGGTTAAGCGTTGATATTAATTTTGAGTCTCCTTTCTTGAAATCCATAGTCCAGCTCATGGCAAGGAAGCCGGGGAGACCCTGACAGGTTTCTGACGCTGGGCTGTCCTCTGATGGCTTTCTGGCTCGGCTCTGCCTTGCCAAGCTGAACCATGAGTGTTGAAAGCTTGACCGCTAACCTGGCAGCCTTGGTCTCTCTTGAGCCTCTGACCCAGCTCCTTCCTGGAACCACTGGCCGCTGCCAGGTGCTCTCTGACCGCAGCTTCCCCGACGGCTGTCTTTCTTCTCCCTGCTTCAATCTCTTTCAGTCCAGAGACTTCTTGTTTTCAGTGTTGCAAGAGCTGGCTGCTGCTCAGTTTCCAAAAGGCATTTAAAATTGACCTGACAGTCAAATCTATGAATCCTGTTCTTTGTTAAGCCTGAAGTTTTGGGAAACAGAAGAACCAGGAAACAAGTCCGTTTACACAGCCAACTGTCACTGTGCCTCAGATTGTTTCAGTGTACTGAACTGGACAGAGAGGTGGAGAAAATAAGGAATGAGTACAGGACAGTACTCAAGCTAATATGCTGAAAAAGGGAAAAACAGTGTGAGTATCAGGAGTGTGGAGGAGGAGGAAAGGGAAAGAGCGTGTACTTATATTTTAAATGGAGTGGCTACAGAAAGTCTTTCTACTTACTTGAAAGTACTTTTTCAGACTTCCAACTTTTTATTATGCAGACACGAATAGGTGCTTTAGAATAAACGCGTGATGCTGCTAAGGGATATGTTGCACTTGTGAGTAATTCCAGTAGTTTTAAAGTTTGCCTGCTGTTTTGATAGGTCAGCTCCCATGTAAAAGAACTTCACGGGACAGCTGAATTTTCATTAGGATGGCACTGCCGTTTAAAAGTCATTCTCATTTTTGAGGAGTTAGACAAAGAGAAGAAAGAGGACCCTTTTAGAGTAGGTTGGTTGCCACCATTTTGGCAGTGGCCGATGTAGAAAACACAAAGAAGAGAGAGCAGCTTACACAGAGGCAGCATTTCTCATGTGCAAACCCAGCAAACCCCTCAATAATAAGATTCTCCGAATGTCGTTGTCTTCGTTCAAGTGAGAAAGTGGGAACCACACACAGACAGAGTCAGTTCCCTCTCTCGGCAAGCTAAATGTTTAGTTGGAGAAATTAAGCAAAGTTAACATAAAAGTCAAAACCATACTAAATACCAATGAAGTAGAAAAGCTTCTTATATCATACTACAAAGCACATCTAAATTATGGTAGCAATCGATTTTTTTCAGGGCTAGAGATCCAACCCAAAGTCTTAAGCATTCGGGACTAGGTCTCTACCACTGAGCCACTGAGATCTCAGCCTCATCTCAATTGATTTTGATAACACTATGGAGTACATATTATCATTTATAGTATGAAGACAGAAATATTTAAAAATTAAGTGTCAAACTCACGGTTATACAACTAATCGATAGGACAACCAGGTTTGTATTCATTGTCTATTTATTATACACTCTGATTCTTTTCAGTTATAGAAGCCATCTATGCCTGATTTTCAAGTCGTCCTCAGATCTGGGAAACATTAATGGGTTCTGGAGAGGTTGAAAGTGTAATTTTTATGCTGGTGGATTAGAGAAAGATCAAGTGAAAAAAAGATAGAATGTTCTTAGTTATGGTGATCACCGAAAGGTTATCTAGTCGTGGTCAAGAAGAGCTGAAGTGGGTTTGGAAATTGAATAGATTTGGGTAAGAGGACAGAATATCCAAGATTATGAAACAAACTATAAAGAAACAACTAGAGAAAAATTCAAGGAGAGTATATTTTATCATGCACAGTGGCAATGTCACATGCAGATACTTCTAGATTTTTTTTTTTACTCTTCTAAATATTTGAATTTTTTTTTTCTGATTAGGGATCTGTTGAAGTGCTTTTTGCAAGTTCAGCTTTCACCTAGCCAAATGCAATTTTCAGTTTCTTCCCCTGAATACTGTAGATTCTATGGGAATAGCGATTATTTGGCTTTTGTTTGCTATCCTAAGCACAGTAATTGACATAACCTAATTGCTCAGTAAGTTCAATGAATGAGTTGAACGAGAGATGAAATCTAAATTCAACAAAAGGTAAAGATTCAACCCCTTTGAACATGATCATTAGTTGAATTTCAAATCTGAGGAGGAAGGAATAAGGCGTGTTCATAGGTTTCTAGCTTGGACTGCGTAGAGACTGGTGGTACAGCCACTAAGAGAGAAAATAGACAAGAGAGAGGAGGTGAGTGTGCCCAGGGCACAGGACAGTTTAAACTCGGGGCATGCTGAGGCCGGGCATCATTATGGTACCCAGGTAGAAGCGTCCAAGGGGAAGTTGAGGATGTAATAGCTGGCTGTACAACTTGCTGGTACTCTTTATAGACCTAAAGGTGCATTTCTATTTGTGGCTTTACTCCCTAGACCCCAGGTTGGTTTGCACGTGGTATTCTGCTCCCCCCCCCAGTGAGTTACTGCCTTCTGCGTGTTTGTTATCAGTACCTCCCAATAGCAGGAGTCCTTCTCCCATGGTTCTTGACACTTTCTGCAGCAATTCTGGAAGTCCCCTTTCCCGAGTGTCATTTGTCGCTGCCTCAGTATCCAGAATTAATTCCAAATATTGACCCTTCGCGGTTATTTTCACCTTGGGAAAGAGCCGGAAGTTGCAGAGTGCCCGATCCAGTGACTAAGGAGGATGAGAACACGCAATCATGAGTTCCGGAGCCTACCTTTCCGTTAGATGGCACAGGGCAGCAGCATTCACCGTAGTTTTGGTCCCATCTTGTAAAAACACTCATGAAAGAAGACTTCTGGAACTGCTTCAGAAACTTGCAAGAATGGTGGGATAAGAATGTTTGAAACAAGGGAGAGGATTTTGAAAGGGATTAGTTTCAATGTGTGTCTTTTACCGCAATAATTTTTTTTTCAGAAATGCACATATAGTTTGGCCACACCACATACACACAGTGGAAAAAAGGAGGATGGGAAATTTGTAAATCTCCCTTTGACATTTTTTGGTGTGGAGAAAGATTAGAGCTCTGTGTGCTCCACTCTGGCTGGCCCTCGCCGTCTTCACAGAACTTGCCACGCTGCCTTGTGAATGGTAACAACTCAAGCAGAATTTGTTGGATAAATAAGAACGCATTTGAAAGAGGTTTACTCTGGCTTCTCCAGATTCTGCATGCTGTGCTTAGCTGCGTTGGACACTGGCTCGCTCCTTACTTTCGAGACGTTGTTACTCACAGCCATTCTGCCACACTGTCGTGGGCGTTTATGGATTTCCACGAAAGAGCGCCTTCCATAGGGACTGTGCTGTTAGACCCCACTTTCCCTGTGACACAAGCATGGCTGCCTTTGGCTCACAAGATCAGTGAAATAATCCACAGAGTAGACACATGCACTGCTGAAATTAAAACGAAGACTCACATCAACAGAAGTAGGAAAGTTCTGTGATTACACAGAAATTCGAGTTTTCATTATATTTTCATGTCAAAGACCAAGGAGAATATTTTAAGACCTGCTTATGCACTCACTCTTCAATAGTTTGCACGCAACGGCCTTAGACTATTACGTGGGTATTACTCTGCTATTCAAGTTTTAAATGTCAGGAAAATTTCAACTCTACACTAATATGAAAGTCACTCACTGTGGCCACTTGTTAAAATGCTTGTATTGAGAAGCAGGATGATCAAAGCATGACTCCCAACTCTGAGAAGAACACATGGTACTGCAAAGTCTCGCCTAATATGTCTTTAACTTAAAGCATGCAAGCTTAGATTTAGGCCCTGCATTTCACTCAAGTATTTGCTGGTTTTCTTTTTTCTCCCTTCACATACAACAGACAGCATACTTAGTTTGCTTTTGCCTGAGGTATTTCTCTATTTAATGCAATCACTTTTATTCTGAACATTTTCAAAATATTTCACAGGTTGTACATAGAAGCTTTTCTGCTGATGCAGTCTTGCAAAAATCTTACATTTTATTTCTAAAAGATGTTCTTTCTTTCTCTCTGCCATCCAAAATATTTCACCAGGAAGTTTGACTTTGATTTCCAAGAGAAACCAAGTGGATTTAAGTTCTGGACTGGCCACTTTCTATCTCAGGACTTGAGCCTGCATTTCCTAGGCCTCTGTTTCTTCTGCCTAAATTGTAGGACTCTTAAAGATAAAAGGAACCAAGGCATCCTGTACTCAGCCTTAGTGAGGTCTACACTCAGATCTGCTCAATGTGAGCTATTAGTTTTATTTTCTGTGGTGGCGGAACTCCTCTTTTCAGTAGCAGTAAGTGAATGTTTAATGTCAGACTTAAAAAAATGGTTTTGGAACGATCCAGTAAGTTTAACTGTTCCATGTGTTTTGTAGACTTGGAGAAAATGCATAAACCTGCTTTCTGTCTAGCATACTACTTCAAAGCAAATTAGATTCACCTGTGTAGATGGCGCGCTTGCTGTATGCAGACAATAACACTTTCTAAAGTATCCTGAATTTCAGACATATATTGAAATAAATGGGCAAATTTTATAAAGGAAATTTTAAAGTAATAATCTTGAAAAGCAATTTTTTAAAGTGTAATGAATTGATTTAGCATTTCTGGGAGAATAAGTTTGTAGCGTTGGGTTCTCAGCCTTCTCGGCTCCCTTGTTATTTCTGCTCTAGTAACCAAAGTGATGTATTTTTGTTTCTCAGTCACTCAAGACTGCCTGCAGCTGATTGCAGACAGCGACACACCGACCATACGCAAAGGTAAGGACGCAGGACCAGCGCTTTTCCACTGGGATGGGGTCCCCCACAGCTTAGATGTGTGAGCCTGAGGTCTGCAGATTACACTGGAGCTGCCTTGCAGATGGGCCATCTGCTTTACAACTTCTTCGTATCACACTCAACAAAATAAAATTTGTTCAGAACGACTGGGGGATAAACATTTAGAATAGCATAATAATCTAATCAACAGAATTACCTCAGAGGAACTGCTATTTAGAAGTTGTAAATAATTAGTATAATAAAACTAAATCACACTAAATCAAATTTAACTTATTGAGAAATCATTTTGGCTTCAATAGTGATGTAAGATCCTTTTCACAAATCTTAATTCTTTTATGTTTTGTTGTAGAAATAAAATGCGATCAAAACTGAACTGCTCATAGCCAATAGACTATATTTTTGTGACAATTCTTCAATATCAATTAATGCACAACAATTTATCATTTTCTCACAGGAATACCATGTGTTAAAGTACTTTAATTGTGTGAAGTTTTTGTTAGATTTGCTTGTAGACCACTGTTTTTCTTTTGTAGTAATAGCCAGAAATATTGTTCATGGAGAATAAACTTTTAATACTATTTCCAAAAAGGTATCATGTAGAATATTAATTCAGAGAAATGGCGTTGGAAATAAGGGCTTTATTGTCAAATAAGTTTGGAAACATAGCTTCCTCTGTATTTTTCTTGGAGATTCATGTCTCACATTAACAAATTACTGAATCTGAGAAGTCTTACTCTAGGAACAAAGTCTTTGTTTTAAGAATCCAGCGTTTCACAAATTCTTGTGATCCTGCCACTCTAACCTGTACCAACACCTCCTTGGAAGCAAAATATTTCAGGAGTTGCTACACTACTACTGCTTCTGTTTATACAAAATAATTAATGAGCAAAAATATATTAGAAAAGGACAGTTCATTCATTCATGCAGGTCCATTTGCTCGCTTCACATGTGCAGATTAGGAACAAACTTCCAGTGGCTGGAGGGAGACCCAGGATGTGTGCTTTTCTCCTTTGATGGAGCAGAGAAGACGGGAGAAACCCTACAAATAAGCAAGTAAAATGCAGAATGCAATGCCAGTGCTGCGGGGAGTAAAGCAGACAAGGGCAGGGGAATTTCTGAGTTGTGACCCTGGGAGGATTTCTGAATTATTAGGAAATTAACTGGATTATCAGGAAAGGGGGAAATAAACTCTCTGGTAAGAGAATCTATTGGATTCTCTGCCCTGCTGAGTCCCTGGAGATGCTGTTCTGCATCTGTATTTTTCCGTGTAACTTTGATTATCCTAAATGTCAAGTGAGATCCAAACTCTTTAAAAATCTATTATTGTTTATTACTGTACATTTTCCAAAATCCTCTCTGCATCTTTTGAAAGGCAGCAAACTATTTCCTAAGAATTAAAATAGAGCCAGCAGAAAACCCTAAGGACCCCAAATAAAATTAAAGGAAAAAAAAAAGAAAAAGAATTGCTTGGAAAAAAGTTTTCTTTACAAATGCAAAGTGATGTAGCTGCTACTCCCAGGGTGAGCTTGACTTGTACAGAGTATTGTGACTGCCTGGAGCAAACCCCAGAGTGGTGGGAGTGCTTGCACCCAGGGACTGGCCTTGCAGTTAGGAAAGCTTGTCCTCAGTGGAACGTTCTCACATGCAGGACTCCGTCAGCCCTCTCAGAAGTAATATTTGTGGTCTCACTGCATCTGATGTAATCCCAGTCCTGAGTTTGTATAAGCCTTCTCCGGAGCGGAAATTATGTTCCTCATTCCAGAGGCCCGGAAGCTCCCAGTAGAGGACCTGTCTTCATCTGGTATTTTGAATCTCCTGTTGCTGCGTCCCTTCGTTTTGTTCAGACAGTGAAGGAGACAGGAGGCTACTCAGAACACAGAAAGGCAAGAGGGGTCTTGGAGTGTAGGCTCACACCCCTCCTATGTCCCTTTTCAAAATTTTAATTTACGATTTAAACATTGTACGATCATATGTTGGAAACAAATTTTAAAGCACAAACAACTGTCGAAACGCTTGCTCCCTTTCCAACCTGTTGCTGTTCATCCTTGCCTCATGACTTTCCATTTTGTTGTTTCTTATTGCAAACTTTAAAGCTGTCTTAAATAAATACAAAGAAATTAGAATATAGTTCAGATATATCTCATTCTTATATAAACATAATAAGGTGCCATACCTGTAATACATACTTTTGAAAACAACTTTTGTAACCTGTTTTTTTTTTTACTTAACATATGTTACAAGTATTTTGATATCTGTAAATAGAAAATTTAAATTTAGAATCAGCACACTGTTCCACTGTGTGAATATGTATTTAATCAATTGCTTACTAATAGACTTGGTGACAATCTTTCTCAAGGATGATGCTTCCCAGAATGACCGTGTGCATCCAGAATTTCTCACATTCAGCCTATGTGCAGGATACAATTTCAGATTCTCTAAGATGATCAAATGCTGTGCTACCCCTGGCAAAAAAAAAAAAGGGTGCCTGGTGCAAAACAGTGCCTCTAAATTTGCTTTCTTTCATTACGAAATGTGTGGGTCACCTCTGTGTGTGTTTTAAGAACCATTTGTGTTTCTGTGTTTACATTCCTGTAATTTTTAGATTTGTGTTTCTCTTTCCTTTTCTCTGAGCTGTTAAGCCATATTCTTTTCATCCTTGATTTGACTGTTGGCCCCATGAACGGATTTCTGTGCCCTCTTTATCTGTCACACAGATTAATCCTTTATATTACAAATGGCAGCTGCCTCCATTACAGTGCCAATATTCATTTAATTTTGCATAGTGTAAGATTTTCTCTTTATCAAATTTGTCAACTTTTTTGAAGGGCTCTGGATTCTGAGTGGCGAATGGAAAGTCCTCTGACTACTCAGAGATATCAAAGACTCCCAAGTTCATTGTAAAACCTTTATTGTTTTTAATATGTAAATATTTTACTTATTTTCTACCCATATTGGTACTGAAAGTGAGGTGTGTAATTGACATACCTTTTTCCCCTGGAGGATGTCCACCATACCGACACTTAAAAAAAAAAAAAGCTTATTGTCCTAATGCTGCCGGAAGATGTTAACTTTAACTTATATTAAATTACTATACTTAAGCCTATTTGGGTTCTTCCAAGTTTTTCTGTTATATTCATTTATGTCTGTCCAAGGACCAAAAAAATTCCATTTTTGTTATTAGAGCTTTATCTGATAAATCTGTTTCCTTCCTCAGTTCTGTTGCCATCTTTAAAATTTTCCTGTTTTTTCCTTTCCCCACGGGGACAGTAGAATCACTTGTGAAAAAGAAAAAAAAAAAGTAACTTCTGGTGCATTTATTGGATCGCTTATGCTTATAAGTTAAAGTATGGAATGTATGCTTATGATAAAGGTGTTCTAGTCAAATCCAATCAGAATATAATATACATTACATATTTATTCAGTCTTCTTTTAATTATTTCTTTCAGTATGTATTGAAATTTTTCCCCAGTAGATCTTGCATATTTCTTGTTATTATTCTTGCAAAGTATTTATCCATTCGGTTGCTCTTATAAATGGATACATTTTCTTTCATTATATCTTCTACTGATGATTCTTTTTGTGTATAAAAGTCTTGATGGTGTGTCTTTTCTTAACAGTGTGCATTGCAGATATTTGCACGGTGTGTCTTTTCTGTACTAAGGTTGAAATGTTTTATTTTTTCATTTCTTAGTATGCCTTCCTTCCAAATGTCATTTTTAACTTTTCTGAAATAAATTGTTTTACGCATACCTCATGGATGCAGAACAAGCTTGGCATTTACTTTTTCAATTCCATCTTAAAACAATGTTCATATGTTGGGCGATATAATTTCATTTACAATTATGTCAATAATGTTTGGCTTTTACCCATCATGTTATGTATGATATATTGCACATTCTCTTATATCTTAACAGAGGAATTTCTACTTTGTAGTTAACAAAGATTGCTTTGCTCTTTCTGTGTGTAGAGCTCTAGTACTTGTCTTTACAATGGTATCTTTTCATTAAGGTCCAATTCACAGAGTATAAAATTAAAGCATGTTAGTCACTAACATTTTGCACATTCCCAAAATGTCACAACCACCAACTCTTCTTGTTCCAAAACATTTTCTTCAGCCCAAAAGAAAACTCTTAACCTATTAAGCAGTTAGCTATCAGTTCTCCATTTCTCTAGCCCTTGGTAACTACCCGTCTGCTTTCTATTTCCAAGGATCCACCTATTCTGAATAATTCACATAAATGCATTGGTGCAATATGTGAGTTTCCCTCTTGCCTGGTTTCTTTTACCACATGTAAAGTTTTGAGGTTCGTCCATCCACACTGTACTATGTAGACATTAGTACTTTGTTGCTTGGAATGGATGAATAATACTCTATTAGATGTAAACCATTATTGTCGACCCTTTTATCCATTAATGATCATTTGGGTCACCCCTACCTTTTGGTTACTGTGAATAGTATTTAGATTTGTGTAAGATATTTATTTGAGTAACTCTTTGCAATTATTTGGAGTAGATACAGGATGAGAATTGATGAGAAACTGCCAAACTCAGCACAGAGGCTAACCCACTTTACATTTCTACCAGAAGTGAGTGTTTGATTTTCCAAAGCCTCACTCACCACTCACTATACATGCTATGTTCTTTGCTAGTTTCCTTACTGTTGCTTTTTTGCTGGCTGTGAGGTAGAGCTTCACTGTGGCGTTGATTTGTATCTCCCCAGTGACTAATGACATTGAATTTCTTTTCATGCATGTATCAGGTGTTTTTGATATGTTTTTCTTCTTTGGAAAAATGCCTGTTCACGTCCATTGACCGTATTTTCTTTGGATCATTTGTCTTTTTGTTGTTGAGCTATGTGATTGCTTTATATATTAGGAGCTAGACTCTTACAGAGCACCTGATTGAAAATGTTTTCTATTTGAGACATCGCCTCTTGAATTTCTTGATAATGCCCTTGGATGTACAAAAGTATTTGATTTTGATGAAGTCAAATTTATCAAGTTTTACTCTTATTTCTTGTCCTTTGGGTGTCAGTATTGAAGATCACGTTATTGAATCAAGCATGCTGATTTACCCATATGCTTTCTTCTAAGAGTCTTAGAGTTTCACGTTTTGTATTTAAGTCATTGCACTTTTTGTATTTTGTTTTGCATACAGCATGTGAAAGGGGCCTGGAATCATCTTTTACCTGTGAATATCCAGCTAAAACAGTGCCACTTAGCAAAGACGATTTGTTCCTCATTGAATGGCCTTTTCATGCTTGTCACAGATTAATTGGCCATAAACATACAGGATTTATCTGCAATCTTAATTATATTCTGTGGGTTCAGATGCATCTCCTTATCTGTGCTACCATGCTAGTTTGATGACTATAACTTCCTAGAAAGTTTTGAAATTTGGAAGAGTGGATTCTCCAGTTTTCTTCTTCATTTTCGTGATTATTTTGGCAATTTGAGAGTCCTTTCTAATATATACGAGCCTGAAGATTTTTTTTTTCATTTAGAAAAAATAACCATTGAAATGAGGGTAGGAATTGTACTGAATATGTAGATAGCACTGGCTAGTACTGTCACCAGAATAATATTAAATCAATCCGTGAACATGAGAGGTTTTCCCAGTGGTGTCTTATAATTTATTTTAGCCTCTTTTTTTGGTAGTTTTCAGTGTATCAGAATTTTGTGATCATAGGTAAATTCAACCCTAGGTATTTTACTGGTCTTGAGGCTGTCTTTGTTCATGTTGCTGTAACAAATTAGGAAGACTGGGCACCTTAAACAAGAGGAATTCGTTTCTCACCGTTCTCAGGGTTGGAAACAATCCATCAAGGTACCAGGACTTTCTGGTTTCAAGGGCCGTGTTTTCATTGAGGCTTCACTTGGTGCAGAGCAGAGATAAGAGCAAGCCTGTGACTCTTTGTCTAGGGGCGCTGATGACCTAACAAAGGCCCCACCTGCCAACTCTCACACAAGGGTAAGATCTCAACAAACATAGGGCACCTGGGGAGACACATGTACGTATGTAGTCTACAGCAAATGATATTTAAAAGGAAAGTGGTTTCCTTACTTCATTTTAGATGACTTACTCCTGGACTATTGAAACACAACTAATTGTTTAGCATTGATTTTGAACCCTTGCAACTTAGCTGACCTCATTTTTTAGTTCTTGTGGATTCGGGTGTGTTCTTTAAGATTTTCTACACGGGAGGTAATGTTTACCCACAACAAAGTACAGGAATTCTCTGCTTCCAATAGCATCCCACCAACGGGATGCCTCTGTTTTCTTTTCCTAGCCTTTTTGCTCTTCCTAGAGCCCTGAGTGCAAGGCTGAGAGCAGTGGGTAAAAGCAGACTCTTCACCAACATTTAAAATATGCCACCCATTGCCTTTAGTTTCGATTTTCTTTTTTATGAGAGCTTAGCTATTAATCTGACTGAATGTACTTTGTACTGGACCAATTGCTTCTCAGTTACTTCTTTGAAGATATTCTCCTTGTCTCTGATTTTGAAGTTTGATTATTTTGAAGTCTTTGTGTGCATTTGTATTTCTCCTGTTTGGAGTTTATTGAGCTTTTCAGATGCATATATTTATGACTTCTATATTGAGGATAGTTCAACCATTATTTTTCCTAATATTCTTTCTACAATTTTGTGTCTTTTCTCTCTGAATCTACCGCAGTGAAAATCTCAGTCTGGTTCATGGTATTCTACTGCTCCCTTAGGATCCATTAATTTTTCTTTACTATTTTTATGCTTCATTGTTGGAACAGTGTTATATTCATAGATGATTGTGCAAAGATATGCCCTTACCCTCCACGTAGCAATAACCTCCCCACTATCATTTGTTAGAACTGATGAACATACACTGGCAGAGCCTTATCCTCCAGAGTCCGTGGGTTACATTGGAGTTCACACCTGGTCTTTTACTGTCTGAGTTAACCCAAATGTGTAATGGAATGCATTTACCATTCAACTACCACACAGGGTATTTTCACCACTTTAAAAATCCTCTGTGAGTTGCCCATTCCTTTCTCTTAGCTCCTGAAACCCTTCATTGTTTTACTTTCCATAGTTTTGACTTTTCATCTGAATAATATAGTTTGAATTCTACAATAGATAACCTTCTGGGTTGTCTTGCTGGGTTGTCTCTCTTGCTAAGAAGCTCTTAGGTTCTTCTCATGTCATTTTTTGGCCTGGAGGCTCATTTTTGTAATGCTGAGTAATGTTCTGTTGTCTGGATGTGCAAAGGTGATCTATTTACCTACTGGAAGACGTCTTAGTGGCTACCAAGTTTGGGCAATCTCGGATAAAGCTGCTATACACATTGGGTGCAGGTCTGTGTGTGGATGTACATTTTCAAACTTCTTTTTGTGAATACCAAGAAGTGATTATGAGATCAGATGGCGAGAGTGTTTAGTGAGTAATTTTCAAACTGTTCTCCAAAGTGGCTATGCCATTTACTCTACCATCAGAAATGAATGAGAGGTCCTATTGCTTCTCTTCTTTGCCACTACTTGTTCTCAGCGTTCTGAATCTTGGCCATTCTAATAGATGGATTGCGATATTTCATGACTTAAAAATGTTTAATGTCCCTAATAATGGATGATTTTTGGGGGGAGGTGTTTTTCTTGCTGGTCTTTATTTGTTTCTTTTTGAGACAGGGGCTCATTATGTAATTCAGGTTGATCTTGAACTCAGTCTACAGCCTGGGTTGTTCTTGAACTCACAGCCCTTGTACCTCAGCCTCCCAAATGGTCAAGTGACTGTCATGCATCACCACACAGGGTGAGTTTTAAAACTTCTTTGCATTTTCTTTGGAAACAAGTCCCTTATCAGATACAGCTTCTGAAGGTATTTTCTTCCAAGTATGGGGTTTGTGTTTTCATTTTATTAGCTGTCTTTCATAGATTAGAAATATTTCATTTTAATGAAATTCAGCTTATCAGTCCTTTCATTTTTGGACAATGCTTTTTTGTGCCACATCTAAAACATCATTGCCAAGTGCAAGGTCATCTAGATTTTCTTGTGTCTTGCATTCTAGGGCTTCTTATAGTTTTACATTTTATTCTTTAGTCTGTGATCCATTTTGAATCACTTTTTGTGATGGGTCTAAGGGTTTGAATCTGGATTCACTTTTTGCAATGTGGAAGTGCTGTGTTCCAGGACTATTTTTTAAAACGTTAATCTTATTTCCATCTTATTGCTTTTGCCTTTTTTGTCTCAATTACTGGAGCTTTATAATTCCTAAAATCAGAGAGTATCAATCTTCCAAACTTGTTTTTCGTCCTCACTGTTATGCTTTTTTTTTTCTGGGTCTTTTACTTCCATACATACTCTAGATTTAGTTTGTTAATATCTTAAAAAATCTTGCTGAAATTTTGATTAGGATTGCACTGAATCTAGAGATGAAGTGGTAAAGAATTGACATCTTGACAATATAGTCTTCCTATCATGGACATAAATATCTCTCCATGTAGTGGTTTTTAAACTTTTTTCATCCAAGTTTTTTGGACTTACATAGGTCTTATGCATATTTTGTTCAATTATACCTAAGCATTTTAGTTTGGAGGGATAGTAACATAAATAGTAGTATTTTTTCAATTCAAATTCCACTTGTTTGTTACTGGTACATAGAAAAGCAAGTGACTTTGATGTATTGACCCTGAACCTTGCATCCTTCTTATTATCATCAGCCTTAATACTTTTTCTTTTTGCTTCTCAGACTGGATAATTTCAGTTCTCTTATCATCAAATATTTGGATTCTTCTTTCCTGCTCAAGTCTATGAATTAACCTCGTTAGCAATTATTTTTTCATTTCAGCTACTTTTCTTTTTTTTGGTATCGGGGATCGAACTTGGGACCTTGAGCTTGCAAGGCAAGCTGCAGCACCACTGAACTAAATCCCCAACACTATTTCAGCTGTTTTCTTTCTTTCTCTTTCTTTCTTTCTTTCTTTCTTTCTTTCTTTCTTTCTTTCTTTCTTTCTTTCTTTCTTTCCTTCCTTCCTTCCTTCCTTCCTTCCTTCCTTCCTTCCTTCTTTCTTTCTTTTAGTTTTTTGAGACAGGGTCTCACTATGTAGTTGAGACTGACCTGGATCTCAGTATGTAGCCCAGGCTGGTCTCGAACTCACAGTGATCCTCCTGCCTCAGCCTCCCTAGTGCTGAGATTACAGGCATGCACCACCCCGGCCAGCTCAGGTACTTTAAATTAGGCTTCAAAGTTTCTATTTTGTTCCTTTCAATGCGTTTTACCTTTTTGTTGAAAGTATCTGTATGTTTATACATAATTACCTTAGTTTTCTTACATTCTTTATCTATTTTTTTTAACTGCTTGGGCATGTTTAAAAGATCTGAAGACTTTATTTGTTAAGTCCAGCGTCTGAACTTTCTCAGGGACAGCTTCTGTTAGTTATTCTCCTCTGTGACCGTTGTGCTATTTTCCTTGTTCTCTTTATGCCTTGCAGTCTTTTTTGAAAGCTGGACGCTTTGAATACTACAGTGTGCTAATAATTGAAGTCATACTCACTCGAATTTCCAGAGTTTTCTGTTGTAGCGTTGAGGGCTGCAGTTGTTCATTCGATGAATGCCTTTTCCCAAAACACGTGCTCCAGACTGTCTTCTTTGTCCTGTGTGGCCCCCGAATCTTAGTTCTGTTATCTCTGTAGCCAGCCTGTTAGAGATTTCCTTTTCTTTAATCTGAATCCTGTTGGATATTTTCTCGCACACTGGAAAGCAAAGCCAAAATGAAACCCTGCCCTGGTCTGTGTAGACCAGCTCTGCGCCAAGGCGTCCCTTCAGCTCTGGCCGGCTTGTTTGCAGTCCTCCCAGTCTGTGCTCTCTGTGTGTGTGGACTGTGAAGATGGCCAGAGGTGTGGAACCGGCACTCTCAGGTCACTGCTAGCGTCCGCCTGTGCCTGCCCTGGCCATGGCCATGCTGCTTACACGCCAAATTCTTAGAACACACACAGTTGCCCTCCAGAACCCGTGTTTTCCCTAGACCCCCACCCCCACCCCCATTCTGGTCAGCCTGTGTCCTGTCTTCCGTCTCATGCTTCAGGTGGCTGGATTTGTGTCAGTGCTGGCCTGGGAAGCCGCTCCTGTCTGAACAGAGTGTGCAGAATGGTAAAAACACCCAGCCACAGGTTTCGCAATCCATGTGAGGACCGCTCTCACCCTGGCACAGTCGGCTGCCCTAGGAAGTGAGGGCATCCTCTGCATAGCTGCTGCCAAACTGAGAAACAATGCCAGCTTCACACTGAAGTGTCGATACTGTTCTTCCTTCAGTAAACACTCCCTTAGATGCTATAGGGGTTCTTGAAATCACACTGCTCACATACGAGGAGGTGAATATATCAGTTTTACCAGCTTCGTCGCTGATTCAGTGAAAGGTTAATTCTCTGAGATTCCTAGTCTGTCCTTGTTTCACAGCGTCATTCTGACTTCTGTAATTATTTCTCTAGGCGCTATCTATGGATTCTTTTCTCTAGTCTAAGATTAAATAAATCTTTCTTCTCTAATTTTTTTCTCTCCTTCCCATCCTCCACCATACATTTCCCTTCCTTTCTACCATAATCTATTTCTTGGTGCTTACCTATGTACTGTTAAAATATTTATATTTCTATTACTTGATCTGCCAACTTAAATTATATTTGTTGAGCCCCAGCTGTGACAAATGAGGCAAGCGATGAATTTACTACCGATATCTCTTTACCTCTACCCCCCAGTGTTTGTTAGTTGTTGGGAGGCACAAAACACATTTATTTTCTTTCTGTCAGGCTGCCTTCCCTGTGTATTTTCATCTTAGTTTCATAGATGAATGTGTTCAATCAGCACGGCAAGATTTGCTGTAGTTTTCTCATTCATTTATTATTTGTCTGACT